GCTTAATGCAAACTTCTTCAACCTGAATGTGAATTTGGTTTAATATTGACTAACTCTGCATTCCTAATAATGATAAAAGCGTGATAGAATTAAGAGATGTGAATAGATTGAGATCTAATGCTCCAAAATCTCAGATAGATAGATAGATAGATAGATAGATAGATAGATAGATAGATAGATAGATACATATAAAAACAGCATAAAATAATAGATAGATAGATAGATAGATAGATAGATAGATAGATAGATAGATAGATAGATAGATATAAAACAGCCAAAATTAAAAGAAAGTGATGGATATAGCGATAGATATTAACTTTTTCCAAACTTTTGTCAAATACCAGGAGAATGTATTTGGTAAGGAAATCTTTACCTTGCACTTTCGGATCGGAATTATTTTTTGAATGCAATAAAATTGCCAAAATATTAAAAATAATATTATGGGTGCCCGCTCGCTTCTGTATACATCCATCTGTCAGGTTGGTAGGCTAATTCTTGTTGGAGGTCCCTGCTAAGTCCCATTATTGTTTCTTCAATACGTCACTAACGGATCCTTTCAAGTTACTTTGTGTCATTAAATAGATCATATCCTGATACAGTCAATTATAAATCAACCCAAATTTTCGACATCAATAACCTACTAGTCTGTGTAAAACTTTCCCTGATATAGATCTATCCTAGTCGTTCTGACCATGTGAAGATGGTGAGTGGGGAAACTGAAGCAATGGTTTGCTTTAGTCTGTGTTACGGCATATCAACGTCAATGGTTTATTTAATGCTGACAAGATTTTTACAATAGATATTTTTGAATAGAATATATATTCTTTGTAAGATATCCGTTCGTAAATCAGGCTTCATTGAAGTATTTTTGTAAAGAAGGTTTTTGTCAAGAGTCTGGTTTCATTGATGTATTCATTTCGGTTTGTAGAGAAATTGATTTTACTGACATTTCCATTTAATTTATATTTTTGGTAGAGGCCTAGTATTTTAAGAAATTCTAATATGTCATCCACTTTTGCTTCCTCGAAGATTTCATACATGTTGTTAATATTATAGTGTTTTTTTGTCTTGAGAGATCAAAATCTGAACACTCGGTTAATATATGTTTAATAGTCTATGTTGTTTTCATATGCTTCACATATTGATTGATCTAACGAAGATCAATCAATATGTCAATACAAGTCAATAAGCGGGCCAGGAAGACGACTTCCATTCTCGTAGTCTGTGCTCAATTGATAATTGAGCTTATAGTGTAGGTTATCGTCCTAGCACCATTGCCATTCTTTTTGAATGTATTTGTTCATGACCTTTTAAAGTCAGTGTATGGGATTTTAAGGTCGTTGAATCTACATCCATATCTAAAGCTCATTTGGCTGCTAGGCCTACTTTATTGTTAACTTTCACTACGATGTGGCTAGGAATCCAACATAGTTTGATGTCTTTATGTTTGCAAGTAGAACACATTTTGCATAATAGTTTCATAATGAGTGGGTTGTGGATTTTTTTCCTTTAAAGACAAAGACGAATAGTGAATCCGAAATTTAAGAACATTTTTGCTTGCTCTGTTTAATGGTATAGAGAGCTAGTTCTATGGCATAAGCCTCCGCAATAAAAAGAAAGCCTCCCCTTGGGAGGGGCTTCTTTTGTTATATTTTTTGTAATATTTTGGCCCATTGCTGCATATACTTTGATCCGTCTGTATAGATGAGTGTATGGTTAGGCGCAGTGGGGGGTGGGGGTTTCTAATATATTCTAAAACTTTTCCTGGAATGTAAGTGGATGCGTTTTTTGTTTAGGGATTTTATTACATTCGTGCAAGACTTCCGGTTGCTTTATTGCCCATGGTGGAATACTAGCTACAGTCGTTTCTTGTATGTGAGAGTGAGATGCCTAACTCATCAACAATGGATTCCATCCTGAATAGATAGGATTGTACTGTATTGTCTTTTTGTTGGAATAGATCACAGTAATTAGGCTTAAAAGTACTGCTGTAAGCCGGTTTAGTTGGGCAAGGTTTTATTTTAGTACGGTAGTGCCTGTTTAACCCGCCTTAAATATGTAGGTGTTTAATTAGCTTCTGTGTATAAGCCCTCCACTAGAGATGTCCTACAAGCCCCGAGTACTAGTCTGAGGCATTGATGATAGGTAGAGTTGGGTAATTTTAGGTCTTATTTTCTGGTTGCCCTGTATATGAAACTAGCGTAATCCAGTTTTGAACGAAGTAGTGATCTGTATAATTTATAATATATAATATATATATATATATATATATATATATATATATATATATGTATATATATATATATATATATATATATATATATATATATATATATATATATATATATATATATAACTCATACTCAACCAGGGGATGCGTTTTCATTAATCAACCAATACTTTAATCGACCCTGACTCATTAAGGCAGCTTGATTTTTTCTTTTAGAAAATCAATATGGCACTTGATGTAAAAGCCAGGGTTTAATTGGATAGTTACTGGCACTGAAATTAGAATCATGGCTTTTAAAACTTTTGAGCATTTAGTTTTAACAAAATATTTACAAGAACTGACTCCAAAATTTTACGATTTCAAGAATAAATCCAAATAAAGTTGATGTCTTTTCAGGTAGATATACTGACTGGAAAATATATTCAAACCAGAATTCTAATTATGAATCACCACAACCAAAATAAGAATTTTTTACTGCATTCGATAAGTAAATACTGCGTAAAAAATTGAAAAAGTTTGCAAAAAAAACTACTCAATAAATAAGATTTCTTAGATCATAATAAAAACAAAAACTAGATGACAGTGGATATAACACCATAAAACTGCTGGGCACAAGTTATGAGACAAAATATTTTAAAATTGTATTGTTTATTGAAAGTCGATGTAAAATTACTGCACCGTGTCATATATTAAGTCATAATGTAGCCAAATTGTTCAGTAAAATTCCTTTGATGTAAATGAAGGTCTTAGATGATGTCAAAATGATTTAGCAATAATGGGCATCTGCCATGAATCTTGTCTATATACAATTTGTAAAGCTTCATAAATTATTAAATTTCATAAGGCTGTGCTGTAAGGTCTTACCAATCACCAGAATTAAATTGAAACGCTACGATTTTGAACATAAACTTAATCTTTAAAGCCGTTTCCTCAAAAAACGGTAACGATTTAGAAAAACGTTTTGTGTCATTATGTTATTTTACGTCATGTTAAACCCCAACTTTGAAATTAAGTGCAATGACACGATTCCAAAATCGACTTGCCCTACTAACAGATATGAGTTTTGATAGTAACAACTTTGGCAAAAAAGTTTATTTACGAACCCTTTAGGTGAACTGGTGAAGAAAGAGACTTTCTTCGAAGAAAATAGTTTTAATTTTATATTTATTATTGTAGTTTACAAGAAGTAAATATATGCCAGGTCATTTCACAAATGCGAATTTACCAAGTAACCCAATGCTACTCACCGTATGGTTGTGCCTTCGGCGACTAAACCGGTTCTCTCATCGGGATCTTCCAGTGAGGAGGTTTTCTGGACTCCCAGCAGAATTAAAAACAAGATCTGTCAAAGAATCTTTAGGGCTAACGCTCATCCACAATAATACGAGAGACGGGTCAGCATAACGATGTATGCAGACAATGCAATGATAACAAGGCGTTGTCGGGCATAGGCCTTCCTACACTGAAGGCAAAAGACAGAGAAAACAGGGTAACTTGATAGCATCAGCTTTGATGTAAGAGGATATTGGCTGTTGGGTGATCTGAAGAAGGGATGGTCTCCAACAGATTTACTACGCTTACACAGGAATTAATAGCTTCCCGAAATTGGGTAACCTGATGGCATCAACCAACACGAGACCAAGCTCTGCCTTGATGGTAGAGGACATTGGCTGTTGGGTGATCTGAAATAGGGATGGTCTCCACCAGATTTGCTACACTTACACAGGAATTAACAGCTTCCTAATTTCATGTCGAGCGATCTTGAGAGGTGCTCAACTCTACAGTAACCCTACGGCGATAACTAGTCATAGGAATGATGATGATAATTTTTGATGCTTCTACATCGGCTTTTCCCATCATTACGAAGAAAAGTTCGCCAAACGTTGAATTGTTCACTGACTGACAGGGAACTCGAACTGGAGTAAGACAATTCTGAGACAGGTTAGTTTTATCCAACCGATCGACACTTCAGTTACGTCAAACGTGGCCACGCGTGTGTCGTCCAGTACGAGAGGAACCGCGGGATCGGAGCAACGGTTCGCGTGCTCGCTCGAACGAGCGGCCATGCCACACTGCCTCCGCGCAATAACGGCTGAAAGCCTCTAGACCGTAACCGCGAACGGTGCCGTCACGTTATTACGAACTGCGTCTCTTTTCGTTCAGCTGGAGCCTGCCAAACCGGGGGTCGTCATCGCTAAGGGCGGCTGTAGTCGTTGGGGTCTGCACCGGTAGCGCTTGTCATCGCCGCGCGGATCCACTTTGGCTGCTATCGGTTCGCATGCGGCAGCGTCCGTGAATGGACCACCAGATTTGACATCCGTGCTAGGCGGGATTTTGCCATCGGCGTCTAATTTTAATCCCTCCTGGGGTGGGAGAGACAAGGAATTGCTCGTAGGCCAATTCAATTCAGGCTCGGGCTGTCGTACTTTGTAGAGCAGCCACTACACTGCGATCTATTAAGACTAAGCCCTTGTCCGATTCCACAGGATCTACTTGCCCGAGATACATTTAAGCAGAAATCAACAGATTTCCGACTTTATCGAGCGATCTTGTCAGGTGCTCAACTGTACAGTAACCTTACGACTATAACAGGTCATAGGAATTATGATGATGATAATAATAATAATAACAATGGCGCACGATTAAATTACACTAGGGTATGACAGATAGAATTTAGATGTCATTTTTTTTCTGGGAATATATGGCATACTCTGGCAGCTTTATCTTTTTTTTCTCTCATACTAATTTATTGCTTTCAACTGCATTCCACATTGAAAAACTGATTCCCGTAAGATTAGCGAAGTTAAGCAACGTCGAACCTGGTCAGTACCAAGATGAGTGAACTCATAGGAATACCAGGTGCTGTTAGCTTGGATGGGCCGATGGTGTAATGGATAATATCTCGTAATTGTTTATTTCATTATATTCACCTGAGTACACTTGAGAAACCTATGAAACCATATATCCCCCAACTATGGGTTAATCAGTAATACGTAAATCATTATCACCAAAAGAATTCTTACATTCTAAAAATATTTTTTTGCTTTAAATAACTTGTAGACGGTTGATAAAACAAAGAAAACATGAATAATACTATTTTTTTTATTAATCCAAGTTTAGCTCAAGTCTATAAGGAATACCATGAGAAAACTCTGCCGACAAATAAATTGCTACTTCTGTATGAATTTCAGTGCTTAATGGTTCAGTAAACTGCTGCCATTGCAACCATTTCACGCTTGATAATTCATATTAAGTTAAGTGAGAAAATTATGCCAAAAACAGGCTAATTATTTTGAATATGTGTTAAGGCAAAGAAGCCATTTTCAATGCATCATTGCCATGAATAGCAAATACATCTTCCAAATAAATGACGAAAATATTGATAACTTAGGGAAATATTCAAATAAGTTGTATGTTAATTATACTTAATTAAGAAAAAATATCTGAAAATGAAATTTTGATTTATGTCTTTGAGAAAGTTACAGTTTTTAAAAACAATATTACAAATGAACAAAATAAAAGCAACTGCTGCCAGTTGCTTTTAAACGAATACTAACTAAAGTAAAAGATTTTCTCTAAGCAAAGAAAATAAATCCATGGAAATTTTATTTATTAATTCATAATTTTTCATATTTCATCTCTTATGTAAATTTTGTGTTGTAATTTAAGAAATGCTTCTTTTCTTCTTATTTTTATAAAATTCATGAGAAATTATTTTTCTGAAATCATCATTTAAAATTTGTTTGATGAGATTTTGTTTTTCTTAATAATTTTTCTCATTCCTAGTTTTTCTTCTTTTTGTAAATATACTGGCTTTAGAGTAATGCCTAACACGACGAATGCAATATGAGTTCGATCCTTAAGATGCGCACATGAGTATTTTAGGATCAGCAGCTATAGGACAAATAGTGGAAGACAAAACATGAACTTGTATCAGGCAGAGGTAATGTAATATTTATAACAGTTTCGCTTCAGAAATGTTTTGTTTTAAGGCATATCAACCTCAATGGGTTATTTAATGCCGACAAGATTTAAGTTAGTAATATTTTATTTTTAAATTGTAATTTTTACAAAAATGTACTGCTGGTAATATTTTATATTTGTATTAATTTATTTTTATATTAATTTATCAATATACTCCGATACATTGTGAACATATATGCAGAAGATACAACGATATATGTGAGCACCTCCCAAAATCTAGATGAATACAGACTGCAACTGAATGGGAATCATCACAGTTGTTGAATCCAAGGATCGACGTAAATTTATATTTTCACATCCTCGTTTTCAATTGAATAAGAAGACAGAGTATTGGCAGACGTTTAATTTTGATCGACCAACTCCTTAAGAAAGATACCTCTGAATTGAAAGCCAGCTTGAAGGTTCTGTCAAGCTATCTCACATAAGACATGCTACTGCATGGCATCAGATTCCCTAAGGACCCTATAGGTTAAATGATGCACACTCTTAGTTGAATACGAAGCAAGGAATTGAAAAGAACGTTGAAGCCATTGAAATCATGAATCATAACAGAAAATGTCGGAAAATTAGTACCCGGCGGATAACATTAAACGTGCGCATGAATCTTTCATTTGAAGTCACGTTTGGTATCAAATCAAAATAAAAATGTGTCATTGTTAATTTTCAGTCAATGTCACTTGAATCCGGGAAGTTAGTAATTTACAGTCATTCGAAAACAGATTAAAATTTGGGCGCATAGATTAATATAAATATTATAATATTTAATATATTTTTGTAAAAATTACCATCAATAGATATTTAGAAACAAAATATTACCAGCAATAAAAATCTATGGCATACCTTAAAACTATATATATATATATATATATATATATATACTCGACTCTCCCGTCTAATTCAACGTATGAGGGTCAAGCAGATCTCTTTCTAGGAAACCAACAGACCGACAACAGCACATGAGATTTGATTATAGTGGTGAAGGTTTCGTGCCAGACCATCCACACTTTTTGAAGGGCCGAATACAAAGACCTGGTGCACTAAGTGCAACAAGGTCCCCAAACGACCCTCTGCAGGTTTTGAATTCAGAGTTGTCCTTCTCCTAGACCAGTTGCCATCCAAGGCTATATAACCCAGTCTGTCCTGCTATTTACCCATATTTGGAGGGAGAAGAAGAGGATTCACATCTTTCCCAAGGGTATTAGCACGTAAGTGAATGTAATAGATTCGACTGGAATTCGACCTCGGCTCTCAGATTCCTCAATCCAAGCAGCTATATATATAGAGAGAGAGAGAAAGAGAGAGAGAGAGAGTTTTAAGGCATACTATATTTATGGGATAAAGTGCCCAATATCAGAGATAGACCGTATGTAAATATAAAAGTGAACATTAAAATCAACAGTCAGAGATGACAGGCTGTTTCATACTAAATGCAATCGCTAGCCCACCGATATATATATATATATATATATATATATATATATATGGTATCAAATGACAATTGGAAAAAATCTTACATTTTACCGACGCGTTTCGTCTTCCGACTTTTTCAAGGCAAAAATGAAATCGAAATGTGTTTGTTGTTATAGTTACATTAAAATCCAAATTTAAAAAGATAGACGCTTATGTCTCGGCCTTTTTTTTTCTGGTTAATGTAAATTACCTTTATAGTAAGGGATTATTTTTTTTCCTTGTCGACAATATAGTTAAATTCCCAGATGAATTCTGTGGACAAGACAGATTGGTATTAAATGACAATTGGAAAAAAAAGATAATGATCATAATAATATATATATATATATATATATATATATATATATATATATATAACAAATTAAGTAAATCATTAAAAAATCCATCAAATTCAGGGTGTCTTTGGTTATGAGGCAACGTCACTAGTTAGGCTTTTGACGCTGTAAGTGAAATCACCACTGAACTTTTAAATCTAGGTCAGAGTATACTCTTAGATTAGTTATGTAAAGTTGGGTCGGACCGAGATACGAGATTTGGGAGATGCCTGCGTTAATTGCTAATTACTCGTTAATAAATTTCATGTGGAAATGGACTTAATGAATTCAAACGCCGGCCAAATCGTTACGTTCATTTTCCCAATTTTACTTTATATATAGTTTGAGTACTTTGCCTGACTTTCCACTTAGAAGTGAGTCCGTATTTAATAATAAGCATATAACTACGCCTATGGCTTCTGTTATCATCTTTAAAGCGGATCCCCTGAAAGAAAAGTGCGCCTGAACTGGCTCATCTACTCTCTAAACTTCTGGCTTCATGCGTGTTGGAAATTTGCTTCTGTAGTTCCATTCTTCAAGAACTCATCTGAACCATTTTATTCTACTATTTTGTCAAAATACTAATCAACTCTGAATTGCATAAGCATTTCACCTCGCAGAGTCTTATTCTGATAAGCAATATGGCTTTCGCTCCTGTAGGTCAACTACTCATATATTAACGATTATTTATGAAAGAATCTATCAAACTTTAGATAACGTTGAAGCTCCGGCTATTGATTTGGATATCTCATTTTGGTATTCTTCACCAGTTGAAAGATTAAGATATTTTTAAAAAATATTATCAAATCGCAATATTGTCTTGGACGGACATTCTTCTAGATATTTCTTTACTTATTCATGTGACCCCCAGGGCTCTATGCTTCGGTTTACGTTGCCCCTATTTTTAATCAACAAACTTCATGATGGCATCTGGGTATCAATAAATATTCAACTATTTATTCCTAATTTAATAGTATGTCTGATTAGTTTGACACGGTCGAATTGACAGGTGATCTTAAAAATGACCTATTTTCTGTTATTAACTGGGGCAAAGAATGGCTTGTTAATTTCAACCTCTCTAAAATGAAACTGCTCTCTTTTAATCATCTGAGAGAACCCTTTCTATATTCCATCATGTATTTAATGTATTTTATGTTTAGGTTATTTTCATGGATACAAGTAGTTAAGCAAATGTTCCGTTCTTTAATTAAACACTATTAATTACATTAACCGTCCTGAATGTTCGAGAAATATTGTAGAAAGTATGCGCTCTCCGGCAGGGATTCCACGAGGATGTCCCATTACGTCTGATGCGCTATAGCCGTTCAGCCACAAAGAACTTCCTGTTAAGCAAAGCCCGAATTAATGCTTTTAATCACACACTTTCACCAATCTCTCTCTCGATCTATCATATCTGATTTTCGTTTCTTAACGTCAACAATAACAACATTTCAAAGAAACTGGAATAAATCCTACAAATATTTAATATATTTTCTGTGGATACAGAGCATTTAAGTAAATGCTCTACTCTTTAATTAAACAGTATAAATTACATTTACCGGCTTGCGTATTAGAGAAATTTCTTAGAAAATATGCGTTTTCATGCAGAAATCGATTTCAGCCGGAGAACGCATATATTAAATATTTGTCGAATTTAATCCATTCCCTATGATATATATATATATATATATATATATATATATATATATATATATATATATATATATATATATATATTGACTTCAATATGAAAATTTCTCTGATTTAACCAGTTAAAAATATGAAAATAGCGTTTCTCTACATTCCAGTTCCTAGGTACATTCTATTTTTGTTTTTATTAGTTACTTTATTCAATTAATTTCATTTTCGTATTTTGCTTTGATAAAGTCCACATTGGTCGAAACGCGTCAGCAATTACCAGTTTTACTATTGTCATTTTTATTCATAAATATTGACTTCAATGTTCACTTTTATATTTACACACGCTCTATCTCTGATATTGGATACTTTATCCCATAAATATTGCACACCTTAAGAGTATATTTATTCATATATATATATATATATATATATATATATATATATATATATATACAGAGAG